AAATCATTAGTTGCAGCTCTGTAGTATTATTAACACACTTCTTTACATGATTAGTGCAAAAGCTGCCCGTCTGCACCAAGTTTGGTCACCATCCTAACACACATCATAAGAGATCGACTCGCTTTAATGAAATATAACCATAAAAACCTTCAAGAAGAGGTGCTATGTGAGAGAACACAGGTCATGTAATTCTTGTTTGGACTACCCACTGCAGAGAAACAGCCTCTCGGTCATTGTTTAGTGATTGAATCCGTCACCACTGTGCACTAAAGTGACATTTTTCTAACTAACAGGATGCAATCATACACCCATACAATTTGGCCAAAGCGCTCCCGCTATGACATCCTACTTTTGATAAACGCCCGCTTTACTCTGATTTAAACTCAAACCGCATAAATGACAAAGGCTTTAACTGCATTCATCAGACAAAGAGCTTGAGACAGCGATTTGTTTTTTTTGGCAAAGAGCGCCGTAGTTCCACTTGTGCTATTCAATTAACAGTTATTTACTAGAAGTGGACATATACTCTATGCAGCTATGGGGGGGAGAAAAACAAAAAAGAAAAAAAAGTACTTTAATATGTGTCTCTGGCAAACAGATTAATTAAAATTTCAAAGCCCTGGCCGAGCGGAGAAGACCAAACGAGGTATTCAACGGGGACGGAATACCGACAAGCGGTCCGGCGTCCTGCTGAGAAGGTAGCCGTCAGGAACCGGAAGCACACAACTTTACACAGAGTTTAGAGTTGTGAAAAGAACTTAAATCCACAGGGAGAGATAGTAACCACGAGCGAATATGTGTGTTTGTGCGAGCAGAGGAAGCAAAAAAGAAAAAAAAAAAAGAGAGAGAGGGGAGAGGATGTTCCTATCAAATCCGGCTAAAGCCCAGTCTGGGAGAGACAGACAAGAAACAGCTTGCTTCTCCTCTGCTTCCACTCAATTGCCATCAGAAACTTTCAAATAACTGATGGCTAGAAGCGAATGTGACCCAAACTTGTTTTGTGTGTATATGCATACTTGCAAAAATATTTATTTATTTAAAAAAAAAAAAAAAAAAAAAAGGCAGGGAGAACGGGTTGCAGTTTGGGCTCCAGGCTTGATGACACCGACAGGAGGATGAAGACAAACGACGTGTCAGAAACCGTGGACCGAGACGTTGTCATTTTACTGATACACCTGACAGCCCGTCTCCCACACACAGGCAGCCAAAGATAAAAACTGAAGCTGCAAGAAGAAAAAAAAGAAGAGGACACAGTTCTCATTTCCTGTCAGTAATAAACCATAAACCAGCCAACAAGAGTGACTAAAAATTAATCATCGGATCACAACAGAGAATTGCATGAACTGCTGCTGGTGAGGCGGTAATCACGGAAAATGACTCGAAGCGTTAATGACTGTTAGGGGTTTTCAGGAAGGCAGCGAGTGAAATCGAGGCCATTAATACTGGAAATTGATGAGTGATTTAGTAGACAAGTGCGCCGCTTGAAAGATAAGGCAGCAATTCATCAGAGCAGAGCTTCATTTCTGTTTTTTCTTCTTCTCTCTCTCTCCTCCATCCTGCCTCCCCTGCGCCCCCCTTTTACCCCTGTCCCTCTCTGTAAATACCACTCTTCAATTATTGACACTAAACTCTGGAGGGGGATAAAGACCGGGCACGGCCTTCCCACCTGCCATTCACCAGAAAAAGGAAAGCACACAAACACACATGCAAATGCCCGGCCGGCCGACAACAATTTCTACCTCGTACTCCTCCGACTCGATGAGCAGTTTGGAGGTGGTGATGCGAGACTCGTACGGCGGGACGTCGTTCTGGAGGAGAAAGAAAAAAAAAAAAACATCAGGACAACACCACCACCGCCACCACCGCCGCCACCTCTGCGGCGACTGTTTGCACAAGCATCCACAAACATAGTTCTTCTTTTGTCTGATAATAGCGCGATCCAATTTCAAGGTACAGAACGTTCCGCAGCTATGTGGCTGTTAATCACAGGCAAAGTGTCGACAGGCTGCGTTTCAGATCAACCTGCTCCTGAAGATAAGAGTCATAACAGGGGTGTCACTGGGATTTTTCTATCAAATCATCCCGCCGACCCGTCCTATATACATCACTTGTACAGTATTTGAATGTAAAACCGTTCATTTGGTGCTATTTACTGCCCATCCCGGCTTTGACATCTTATTTCTTCTTCTTACTTATCCTTCAGGTGTCGCCTCTGATATCTGCTCTCTCCTCACACATGTTTGTCAAGTATTTGCTCCTTTTTTTTTTTTTTTTATCCTTGCATTTCACTATCTCTGACTTTTCTCTCCACCGGTGTCCCTGTGTTTGCCGCAAAGCACACTGTGACAATCCTGTTAGTGGAAGGGGCTTTATAAAAATAAAATGGGATCTCACTGGCGCTATTTGCGGTTAAAAAAAAAAAACACACACACACACACACAAAAAAGCCACAACCACAGCTCCAACTCACCTGTACGTCTTCCTCTGTGGCGGAAGAAGCTGCACTCTGCTTCAGCGCAGGTAGCCACATCTGAACGCTCTTCAACAGGTACTCTTTACCTTCCTGAAGACAAAAAAAAATGCAAATATGTTAAGATAAAGGCATCTCAGTCATTGGTTCTGAGTACAACAATTGGAGAACGCACTCTACAGACTAATTACAGTATATAATTTTACTTTTAAGGAGCTTTTGGATTCCCTGAGAATACCGATGACCTCTGGATTAACTCAAGATCAATTTTATTATTGTTGTTCTCAAAATTATTACCAGAGAATAGCAAAAAATATTCTGATTTCAGTCAACTGTATGTGGGAAGCTGTGGAGTGTGACTGGAGCCAGCCTGACCCCTACAGCTCACAGCTGGTATTACACATCTACTATTATCTTTTGCTTATTAAGTCCCTCTGCGGTCATTGATTAAACCACTAAAAGCTCATTTCTGCGTATCAGAGTTTCATATTTAGAAGTTTGTTCCATTAATATAAGTTTTTCTAACTTAAAGTGGCTTCGATGTAACTCTAAGTTATTGCTTCGTCTCGAATGTGCAGATCTATGAAGTCCCTGCCTGCCTCTCCTTGCCATTCTTTGCAGCACCAGCACACCAGCTCACCTACAACTCTGCTAAAACACCCTAAAATTCCACCCTGTGAGGATATGTTCATTAGGTTTGTTAAGTAAGAAATCCCTGAAGCCCGTGTCATTGGTAGACTGCAGTCTCGAGGCAGAAACGCTCAGCAGAGGCATCGACTGCTTGTTTTGTTCATGAGGTGTTTTCCAGCACACAACAAACACCGTATCGGCATGCTGAGAAGGTCAAAGTCTTGATTTTTACCAGAGGGGGTCTGCAAGTCTCTGAACCTAAAGTAGTTTCTGGGCATTTTTTTTTTGCTAGCGTTACATTTTTACTCACCGTGGGCTCATTTTTTAATGCAATATAAAGTCCTGCACCTCCAAGGAAACAGCACAGCCATGAACAGACGTAGAGGAAACTTAAAAATGTCTGTTGTGCTGTACAACACAGTTATAAGTCATAAATCATTAAATAAATAAATGAATGAATGAATGAATTAATGAATAAATGAAAGAATGAATGAATGAATGAATGAATGAATGAATGAAAGAAATTTTTAAAAACAGATTATTTTTAAAAGACAGCGTTTGATTTGAAGTTTGAAGTTCTTTGATTATTTATTTTACAAAAAAGATGTAATTTAAAAAATAAAATAAAATAATAATAATAATAATAATAATAAACATGGACCACAGGTTTTACCAATACTGGAACAAAAGAATAGCTTAATATACTATAGATATTTTACAACCTACATTTTTTATTTGTTTCCATTATGTATCTCCAATCAGCACTGTGTAAACACAGCCTGTAGTCCAGCTAAAAAGTTTCTGAATATTTTTAACAAAACTGTTGGTCACAGCTGAGTTACTATTGGCTTCACAGTTGGCCCAAGAAGTGTAGAATTTTTTTGGTTTTTACAGAATCTGGTTACTGTAAACTGTTAAGTTTTGGCATTTTTTAAAAATAAGATATTTAGAATACATTTTCCAACAAAATCGCATGCCACAGATGAGGAGTTCAAACAAGACTTTCCCTTGAATGCTGTACACCTGGATTCAGCTAAATATATCCGTTTGGTTAATGTCTATAATGAAGTAGGACTGAAACATTAGTCTGTTTGCACAATAAAAAGCCGCGAATTAAGTAATATGCTCCAAGCTCATTTGGTACTCTGAGAATTTGCAGCCCTCGAGGTGAGAAATGGTAAATAGTAAATGGTCTGCACTTATAGAGCGCTTTTTTCTACCTGAGTGGTACCCAAAGCGCTTTAGAGAAACATCTGTTCCAGCAGCATTTCGCTGAAAGATGGGCGGTGCTGTGACCACATTTTCTTTGTCACTGTCGTCTACATGGCAGCAACTCTTGTGCATAGACTTTTGTGCATAAAGTTAATTACAAAAATGTCCAAATATCCTTAAGTCTGAATAAATTATGTTCTATCAGACAGACTCTTGTAGATTCATAGAAAATGAGAACCATGCAAGTTTTCTTTATGTGCAAGTTGCTAAATGGTGAGTTATTTGCCTTTCACCAACATGACCGTTGTATGCATCAAAATCTATTCATAATCTATTCACCACTTAATCCTCACTAGGGTCGTGGGGGGCTGGAGTCTATCCCAGCTGACTCAGGGTGAAGGCAGGAGACACCCTGGACAGGTCACCAGTCTATCACACTTAGAGACAGACAACCAAACACACTCACATTCTCACCTACGGACAATTTAGATCACCCATTAACCTCTGGAGAACCCGGAGAGAACCCACACTGCACAGGGAGAACATGGAGACTCCACGCAGAAAGCGCGAACTAGCAACCTTCTTGCTGCAAGGCGACGGTGCTAACCACCGAGCCACCTTGCAGCCCATGCATCCATATGCTGATGCTAAATATATAGTGCAGCCCGAGAGTCATACTGCAAAGTTCCCGTGACATCTTGTCCAAACTGAGCCCAATATGCCGCTGCTCATCTCTTTCTCTTTATCAGATGACTACATGACCCCAACGACCTGCCCGGTAATTAACATTCCTATCAGTATGACCTGTCAATGTGTGTGTGTGTTCATGTAAGTGTCCATCTGCTGATTAATGGCATACAATTCAATTTGCTCAGAATAATTAACTCAGCAGATTCCCGCTTTAATGTGGCGATAACTCATCCTGAGAGTGCGTGCATGTGTGTGTGAGGACTGACCTGGTTTCTCTCTGTGCTGAACAGGTAACTGGCCATAAGCTGGAGAGCCTCGGGGTTGTCATGGTGATACTGTAATGCTCTCTCAATGAACTCTCTGCACTTGTCCGCAGCTCCCTCCTCCATGCTACATGCACGCAGTGGAAAAAGACAAATCTCAACTCATTACCAGGGACGCGATGCCAGGATGGGTTATAGGTGTCGGGAGTGCGACTGTACCAGAGGTCTGTTAAGTAAATCTCAGCGATGGAGCAGTAGGCGACGCTGACGTCCTTCGCTGTGGGGAGCTCAGAGTTCTCATCTGGCGGGGCGGCAGCTCCAGCAAGAGCCTGCGTAAAGAGGGATTACAGATTTTGCTTTTATTAGCAATTAAGCTATCAAAATCAGGAAACAATCGTCCCCACACTCCCAGAGAAGCTCCACCTGAAGAGGCCCTTCTCATCTGGAAGCATATTATCACGTCAAAGAAGGAAAACCAGACTTGCAAACGCTAAAATTAATGATTCCCTGAGTTCTATGCATCTGCTTCATTTTCAGGGCTCAGGTATTGTGCATCACTGTCACACTGTCAAGGCTCACCGAGGCTCGTGAATAGAACGTTGTTAATGGTTTTAGCAGCACCTGAGCTTTTCGTCCTGTGACTGAATATCTGCTGTGACAAAGAGCCGTGAACGTCTGAATCATGCAGTGTGGCCGACACCTTTTCTTTCTCACATACAACATCTGATATAAAAATAATAAAGAGTCTATTCTAATGACAGGCACCTTATAATGCAAGTTAAACAACTATGGGAATGAATAAATTAATATGCATTGCTTGATATATTTAACCTGTGACATTATTACAATATATCCCGATGCTTTTCTACTTTGCCTTAATATTTACATAATTCTTGTCACCATTTGCCTTAGCGATAAACCTTTTTCTGTTGGTTTTTCATTTAGGATTAGTTTTATTGCTTGGCCTCTGCATGCAAAAATGTTTCCTCGCTGCAAAAGTTTCTAGTATTGAACCTAGCAACCAAAATAGTAGCTAAAGTCAAAAGAAAGATTATAAAAAGTGTTGTGAACACATCAAACACAACTGTTTCACCTCTAAATCAGGGTTGCATTTAAAGACCTGTTAT